CTGAATGTATCAACTTTTTCTTCAGCTAAAAACTCATCTGAATTTTGTCTTAACAAATTGGTTTCATCGAAGACTTGCAAACTAGATTCATTGGGACAAACAGGAACAGTTTCTTGACCATTTAAATGATTACTCTCCATTGTACCTATATAGCAAAACAAAAACGACAGTCAAAATTACCTTAGATAACATGAAACAATTAGTTCTTATTTTAATGGAGATTCTAAATTAGAACGAAGTGTACCAATGCAAAAGTAGCTCCAACTGGTGAGTTAAAGAATAATTTGGGAACAGCTTCCTGTTAGCAATTTCAATAAAATTATCAAAACCTAATTAATGAACGAAGAAGAACACGTTTGTTTCTTTGCTTAACGGCGGCGTCTCTTGTTTTTTTTTTTTAAGCTATTTTCCTTTTTTTTTTTTTTTTTTTAAATTTTAATATTCCTTTTCTCCTAATCCTACATGGCAATTTGATTGGTGTTAATAATAGAGGTGAATTTAAGGATTCACCATAGGGGGTGAATGCAAGTTTTGTTCAAAATATCAAATCATATAAACTATAACAAGACGTTGACCGTCTTATACACGTGTGCATGATTTCACATCGATCGTCACATCAACAATTAAAACATAACCATTATTATTATTATTTTCATCATGATAATCTTTACGTAAATCCTCAATCATGTTTGTTTCTCAGTCGTGCACTCTGGATTACTTAAGTACGTTGTGAGATACATGGTGGATTTAAATGCAAGAAGAGGATATGATGATGTTTTTTTTTGTAACCTAATGATGTTTTTTTCCCACAGGTAAGTCGTATATAACCCATACATGTAGAATTTTTCAACTAATTATTCTAGATTGTTTCGCTACGTAACGAAGTGACAGACAAACATATCGATGGGTGATTGTAAATTGTGAATGTTTCGATGACCTGTTGGTAGTGAATATTGATCCAAGAAATATTGTGCTCGGATGGGATTACATCATAAGATTTGTCGGCTTAGCGGATTTCGATATAATTATAATATTAATTAGGTTAATAATTACTACTATTATATCTGGGATCCTTGTTTGTGGCTCTGAATGCTTCCCACTTCTTTTAAAAAGGAGAAACCAAAAGGGATGAAGATAATAATTACGAGATTGTCTCCAACCATATGAATGGAACATATGTTTTATATATCTACAGAGGGAGCAATTACCGCAAGGGTCCATCTATTGGAGAAGAAAAATTTTGAAAGTAAAAATCAAACACCTGAAATTTTTAAATATTAGTGTTGTGCTATTCAAATATTTTAGTAAAGGTTGCATTGGATAGTTTGTATTCTAAATTCAAATTTTCTTTTTTTGGAACAGATGATTATCCTGGTAAAATCTTAAGGTAGATTAGAATGAGTTGTCTCATTAAATTTTTGACTGTAGAAATTAAGTTGTAGATTATTTTACTTTAGCTTTGTAAAGCATTTGTTCTTTTGTTCTAGATAAAGTTCTCTAAATCCACTTTCTAAATTCTTAGAGATATTTTGACAGTAGGTTTTTAAAGAAAAGAAATTTTGATTGGTTGAAATATATATTTTTCTAGATTAAATTTTGGTTGTCAAGAACATCTAGAACCACAATCAATCATCCCAGAATTAAGAGGTTTTGGAATTTTAATAATTTCTAAAAAGGTTTAAAATGATATGGTATATTTTATTATCGTTGAGCATATCAACTAACTTTAAAAAAAAAAAAAAGATTGGGGCCTAATTGTTTTCCCATGTTGCTATGTTTATATGTTTATGTAGTTTTTTTTCAAAGAAAAAATAGAGATATAAGATCATTGTTTCATTAAGTTTGGTCCAAGACCGGTCGGTCTGATAAAGTATAATAGTTTGTATTAGTATTTTCAAATGTCAATATGTTATTAACTGGATTAAAACTACCAAACAATGATGTCACGGGCGGCTAAATAAGTCCAATATTTAACTAATTAGGTATCAAAATTGTCGATGTTAGCGCAATGAGTAATATGGCAATGACGCAAACTCAGGGATGCAGCGACAAAAGAACAATTACCTAATAAAAGTAGGAAACTATGTAGTGATTTGCACAATCATCAAATAGTTTATCCCACTATAAATATTTTTATCATACAAAATAACCCACGCATTTATGGTGTTATTATTATCCTATAAATTCAACTATATATTATGTATATAGTGGATCATGTGACATGTGTGATACCCTATCTAATTCTATTAAAAAATGGATGACTTAACAAAGATATATAATTGATGTCCAAGCAAGGTGGTGTAGTGGTGATTGTTTTTCTTGTTTACTTCTATCGTTTATTATTACCGGCTGTTATATGTTGTTTATTTAGAATTAATTTAGAGTTCATTCTAAATTGTTGTTGTTTTTTTTAATTCCTTTTTTCAAAAAAGAAAAGAAATATGTTGTCTGTTAATTCATGCAATGGATAATTTATGTTGTCTTGAAATATGACGTCATTCATGGAGATAAGAAAGAATCGAATCATAGACAAATTATTTGTTTCTGATTCTGAGGGAACTGGAGGGTACTTCACGTTCTTAACACACGTGTATGTCCGATATCTCACGCCATATTAACCGGGATTCCGAATGTGTCCAGAGATGACCACGTGGAACCGGTCCGTGACAAACCGGAGTCGTAATAATCACTTCCAACTGTCATGACCTTGAAATTTCATGCACGCATGAATCATTTCGAAGTTAGATGTATATTTCTAAGTACTCTCGTTCGCTTGTTCACCCGAAACAACAACACAAGTTACTATGAAATTGACGAGAATATGATTCCTATTATTATATGCTTTATCATTTCATGCTAGTTTAAATAAAATTATGCGAATACTTTTTTGGAAAGCGGAACAACAACAAGAACATAAAGGAAAGCTAATCAACTTAGATAGATGTTAAAGACCATATATTCGCTTTATAAGTTCAAAATGTATATATGATCTTAATAATTCCATTGTGCTTCAATTTAATTTTATAATTGCAATATTTATTTGCAGATTATCCACGAATATGTGGATCTCTATATTTGGATGATAATGTCGTCAGCTTGATTTTTGGCCCTTTTCGTAACATATAAAATTGGAATAAATGGAAAACATCAAACTAGAGAGGACCCATATTTGTATCCATTAATGGTCACTTATTATCTCCACACAAAACCTCAATCTGAATTATGTATTTGCATACTTTATTTCTTCAGTGGAGTAATATATAACACTTTAGCCAAAAAGTGGCTACTAAAGTGAATTATTCTGTTATAGATTCCACCACTGGACCTAAAAGCAAATAGATATGTTGTTGATAATTAGATGGCTGCTCAAGTGAGAAACGCATGACTGTTTTTGAATATCATATAACATATATATGTTAGGTGAATGATATCAAAAAATTATTCAATATTATGTAAGTTGATTAAATGAGAGCACCTACTCGTGGAGAATGAATACCAAAAGGAATGTTAAATATCATAAGGCTTGAGTTGAGTGTTTATTACGTCTTTTTGGTAACTGGATTAAGAGGAATGGTAAACATATTATATATTGTGCTGATTTTAAAATTATAATGCTCATAATTAAAAAGAGTCAGATTTGGTTTGTTCTCACCGCCCATGGTGAAGAGCACTTTCAACAATGCTACGATTTGTATTAAGGACAACATTTTAAGGAGTCTCTTATCAATAGCCACTAGTTGTAAACAAAAAATGATCTCTCAACAACACATGATTTTTTACCGCTGCACTAAACATTACAAGTATCTAATTGTGTAACGTTCAAGACCACAATCGTCCACTTTTAAAGTTCCAAACTCTGACATTCTCAAAATTAGGTGACAGACAAAACACGAGTCAAAACTATACATTTTTTTTAAAAAAAAGAAGTCTATAAATAATTAAATTATGGCAAAATGGGAGAAAAATCAAATAAACTGAACCTAACTTTTCACAATAAGATCAGAGCATATTTTTTATTCAAAATTACATTTTTGTTGTACCGTCTTTTAATTATATTATTTCCTTATATTTGGAGAAAAATCAAGGATATATAACTTCAATAATCAATCATCAAATGCTAAGTGAACTAGTAAAGTTTGGATTTGATTATAGCTGGTTTTAGGTCAAGCCTAATAAAATATTCGCTTATGGTCTCTAAATTTTTTGAAAAGAATTCATCAACATAAATCTAAAACTTATTAAAAAGATTCTCAATTTTGTGCAAAAGCATTAAACTTAACCAATCCGTCTCCAAAATTTCAAGACCGGTTCTATGTTTAACTAAAAGCCAACTTGATCAAACAGCAAAAAAAAAAAAAAAAATTAAGAGCCAACTTTAATAATTTCTTTTATTTATTTTCGTTAGAAAACTTAGTTATTTTTCTTTTTCTACTTTATAATTGTCTTCGGAGTTTAACATAACAACAATTTCTTTGAAATTACGTGATAAATTCACTTTATAAAAAGCATAAACGATATGAATCGACATCCCACTTATCAATCACCCACACTTTTCTCGTTCCCTTCACTCTCAACACACTTTGCTTTCACATTTTAATTTTCCCTCATAATTTACACCTTTTTAATTAATTAATTACATATAGTAACAATACACATTCGTTGAATCACAACTAATTACATCGTTATCCAGAACCCAATTACCCTAAATAAAGATAGAGCTTTGACTAATCAGATTTGCTGAAGTAGATCTCTCTCTGCTTTCTCTCTCTCAAGTTATAAGCAAACTTCAAAGTTGGTTAACCCAACAAAACAAAACAAAACAAAACAAAATAAAAAGTCGCTCTCATTCTCATAAAAATCTCGCCTTTTTGTCCACAAACCCATACGCAAACATCCTCTTACGTGTTCTCCTTTCACGAATTTCTCGAATTTTCTCGTTTTTTTCCCCTTTTGTTTTTAAACTCTTTTCAAACTTCTTCTCTCCAAACCATTCTCCGTTACTCAAACAAAAAAACCTCTTCAGTTCTAAGTGGTAATAAATAACAAACAAACATCTGAAACCCAAAAAAAAAAAAACGTTTCTTTTTTTCTTTTGCATCTGTTTCAGTTTCTTCTCTAAATCCATGGACTTGTCAACTTCCTCCTAAGCCTTAACCCACCATGGATATCGAATCAAGAACTCATCAAAACATCGTCAAGGTAAGATCCAAATCTCAAAGTCCTCACCTTTCATTCTCTCCCTCGTTATCATCGAATCTTATTGATTTTCACAGAAGGAATCATGGAGAACAGTATTAACATTAGCCTACCAAAGCTTAGGCGTAGTATACGGAGATTTAAGCACGTCACCTCTCTACGTCTACAAAAGCACATTCGCTGAAGACATTCACCACACTGAGTCAAACGACGAGATCTTCGGCGTTTTGTCTTTCATCTTCTGGACGATCACTCTCGTCCCTCTCTTTAAATACGTTTTTATAGTCCTCAGAGCTGATGATAATGGTGAAGGTGGGACTTTTGCTCTTTACTCGCTTCTGTGTCGTCACGCGAGAGTTAACTCGTTGCCGAGTTGCCAGCTGGCGGATGAGGATCTTATTGAGTATAAGACGGAGGAGGAGGGGGGAGGAATGATGTCTCAGTCTGGTTTTGCGGCGAGGTTGAAGAGTGTGCTTGAGAAACAGAGAGTGTTGCAGAAGGTTTTGCTTGTGTTGGCTTTGATTGGGACTTGTATGGTGATTGGTGACGGTGTCCTAACGCCTGCGATCTCAGGTAAAGTGAAAAAAAAAAAACTTTTGAGTTTTTTCTTGTTTTTGACTAAAAGACAAGAGCATTGACTTGTTTGGTTGTACTGTTCTGTTTTTTTCTTTGTTTGTTACAGTTTTTTCTGCAGTGTCTGGTGTTGAGCTTTCAACGGCTAAAGAGCATCACAAGTGTGAGTTTCTTTTCACTATTCTTTGATTAGTTTTATCTTAAAATGTTACTCATGGTGATTGTTATCGACACTTTGGTTAGTTTATGGATGGATTCTAGTTTATACTTGGTGATCTCTGAGTATCATTATCGGTTGTCCCTTAGCGGGAAAGTCCCTTAGCTTTTAACTAAAAACGCTAAAAAGGGACATCCGTCAAGTCCCTTAAAGCGATAATGATGCTCTGAGGTCCTTAAAATTTGGGGACTATAACCAGTTCAATAAAGTTTTAATAATTTTTTTTATTACAAATATTTGGGGACATTTGGTCATGCAAATTATTTTAAAAATTTTGGAGGATATAAGCTAATGTTTCACCTAGCTATGCCCAGAAACTCTCCTGCCTAAGACTAGTTGAGTTTATCATTAGAATCACTCAGAAAGTCTTTGGGTTCTTGACTCAACCGTGGAGCCAGTTGCTCCCACCATCTATTTATTAGATTGCTTGACATAGTCTTTTGCACGTAACACGAATTAAATATCGTATAGGCATCGCTTTCAGTTTGGTTTAATGGCCCACGTCTATTGAATATGTGTTTTGGATTGTTCTCTGCACACAAAGTTGACGTTTATAACGTCTATCCTCTTCCTGAAAATCCTCATCCACCTCAAGTTTGGATCTTAGTGTCAACTCTTTGACTAAACATTCTACTTTATTGAGTTTCATCATGTTAAAGTTAAGTGTTGTTGTTTTGTTTTTGTGCAGATATAGAAGTCCCTGCTGCTTGTATAATTTTGATAGGTTTATTTGCGCTTCAGCACTACGGCACACACCGAGTCGGGTTCTTATTCGCACCAGTTATCCTCTTGTGGCTAATGTGCATTAGTGCCATTGGTGTTTACAACATTATCCACTGGAACCCGCATGTGTATCAAGCGCTCTCTCCTTATTACATGTACAAGTTCCTCAAGAAAACTCAAAGTAGAGGCTGGATGTCTCTTGGTGGGATCTTGCTCTGCATCACAGGCTCAGAAGCTATGTTTGCTGATCTTGGTCACTTCTCTCAGCTCTCAATCCAGGTTAAGTGTAGTCTTCTCTACTTCTCTACTTCTCTACTCAGTTTTATAAGTATTCATTATGTTGATATGATCGTGCATTCGTCTTGTTGCAGATTGCTTTTACATCACTTGTGTACCCGTCATTGATACTAGCCTACATGGGACAAGCAGCTTATCTATCGCAGCATCATGGCGTAGAAAACGAGTATAATATAGGGTTTTATGTGTCTGTACCGGAGAAGCTGAGATGGCCGGTTCTTGTGATTGCTATACTAGCTGCTGTTGTTGGAAGTCAAGCTATTATTACAGGAACGTTCTCGATTATTAAGCAGTGCTCTGCGTTGGGGTGTTTTCCCAAAGTGAAGATTGTTCATACTTCGTCCAAGATCCATGGTCAGATTTATATTCCTGAGATTAATTGGATCTTGATGGTTCTCTGTTTAGCTGTCACCATTGGTTTCAGAGACACAAGGCGTATGGGTAATGCTTCAGGTATGTAAAACACAATCATGTGACTTCTAACGCCTCTCTATCTACTTAAGGTAGTTTGAACTGCAAGTTCGGTTTTCGGTTCAGTTCAGTTTTTTAGGTTTATTTTTTGGTTTGGTATGGTTTTCTCGGTTTTCAGTTTTTAGGATATAGAAGTAACTAATACCAGTTCGGTTTTAGTTCATTTTTTTTAGTTTTCGATTCGGTTTGAATAACAAGTTTGAGAACCGGCAAATTTCTAAAAAACTGATTGAGTCAAATTCTATGTCTTTTAAATATAATATGGATATTTTGGGGTTTTTGATAAAATATTATGTATATTTTTTTTCAAATAAAACTACGAGGTAGTTCACATCATTTTGTATATATAAAATAAAAAATGGGTAATTCATTTATAAATAGTATTTTTATGATATTTGGTTATTTAAAAATTAAATATTATTAATATTTTAGGTATTTTGGATATTTAGGTATCTATTCGGTTTGGTTTCACTTTTTTTTTTTTTTAAAGAAGAAAAACCTTTCAGGTATATATGAACACCGGTTCAGTTTTGGTTATTCAGATAAAACGTCCACTTGCTAACTAACCTTTTGTAATGTTTCATTACAGGTTTGGCGGTTATAACCGTTATGCTAGTGACGACATGTCTAATGTCACTAGTGATCGTGCTCTGTTGGCACAAAAACATCTTCTACGCGATAGCTTTCGTCGTCTTTTTCGGCACGATCGAGTCTCTCTACTTCTCAGCTTCCCTAATCAAATTCCTCGAAGGCGCGTGGGTCCCCATCGCCCTCTCCTTATGCTTCCTAGCCGTGATGTGCACGTGGCACTACGGCACTCTCAAGCGCTACGAGTTCGACGTGCAAAACAAAGTCTCGGTCAACTGGCTACTCAGCTTAGGTCAAACCCTCGGGATCCAACGTGTCCGCGGCATCGGACTCATACACACCGAGCTAGTCTCCGGCGTGCCGGCGATATTCTCTCATTTCGTAACCAACCTCCCGGCATTCCACCAGGTTTTGGTCTTCCTATGTGTTAAATCCGTCCCCGTGCCGCACGTGCGGCCCGAGGAACGGTTTCTTCTCGGCCGCGTGGGGCCGAAACAGTTTAGAATGTACCGTTGCATTGTGCGGTATGGGTACCGTGATGTTCATAAGGACGACATCGAGTTCGAAGGCGATCTTGTTTGTAGCATAGCTGAGTTTATACGTTCGGAAGCTGTAGTGGCTGAGACCAATGGGGAGGATGAGAGAATGTCTGTGGTCGGAACTTGTTCGACATACATGAAAGGTGTCGAGGATGTTGATGATGACCCGGGGACGTCGGAGATACGATCACCGAGGGCTAAGAAGAAGAGTAAGGTTAAGAAGAAAGTTAGGTTTGTAGTGCCGGAGACTCCGAAGATAGAGAAGGAGACGAGAGAGGAGTTGATGGAGCTAACGGAGGCGCGTGAGGGAGGTGTGGCGTATATAATGGGGAATGCGTATATGAGAGCGAAGCATGGTTCAGGGCTGGTGAAGAGAGTTGTTATTAACGTTGGGTATGAGTTTCTTAGGCGGAACACTAGAGGTCCAAGAACTGCACTTACTTCGCCTTATGCATCTACGTTAGAAGTTGGTATGATCTACCATGTTTAAAAGGAGTATATTCGTCTTTTTATGTACATGAATTGATGATTTTGTTGTATGATAATTTGATAAAGGGAATTAGATTTATATAGATCAAGAAGTTTTGTCCTTTGTGTATGTGTGGAGGTATTGCGAAAGGTTATTGAGAGTTCTTTTTGTATGTATAACAACACTCTGTACAAAGGATGTGTGTATTATCTTATATTGTTGAAATGATGATTTCAATCTGATATTATTTAATAGCAGTAATTAGCCAAGGATTTTGCTTTGAGTTCGTCAATACAAATGCTTTCACACTGATTAAAAAAATGCTTTCACACTATATTTATATATATATGTATAGTATAAACTCTATGAATTAATATTCTATAAATTAATATACATAAAATTTTCTATAAAATAATATAATTCTATAATTTTAAATTAAATTTTTGATTCAGTTACTATATCGATAAATTAATAATCTCTATAAATTAATAAAAAATTATAATTTTGGTGTAATCCCAACATTATTAATTTATAGATGTTTAATTGTATATATAATATGTAAAAGTATTCAGGTTTCAATTAATAGAAACCTTCTATTATCTTTTGTTTATTATCGTTTTCACACTATTTTCTTGCATCCGTTATAACATATTAGAGGGAGAACATATTAGATCATTTTGTTTTGGTGGTTAAAATCATTATTTCAAGAGATTACTGTAAAGAGTAACATTCATCCTTTTATATATACGATAAATACTAGATTTTACGATAAATACTAGATTTATATGAAGAGTGATTTCTCATTTATGTATATAATGTTTTATCTGTTTCTTATGTATTACAGAAATTAAAAAGGCTAATGAGGGAAGGAAGTTATGACCGGTTGCACTTTTGAAAATTTCTACATCCTCAAAGACCTAACGACCGGACCAGTCATGGTTTATTTTAATTAGATGGCTGGTTTGGCGGCTGCCCCCACCTTGGACCTCACAAAAAAAAATGGTAAATACTAAAACATATTCACATTATATAAAGTATTCGTTACTCGAAAATAATTAAATAATACCACTGGTCATGTTTGTAATTGTCACCAAGGTCCACGGTAGTGCAGGCACTAAGTCCTCGGTCCACGCATGTGAGCTACACGCCCTCGCGCTTGACGAATAAGGAGGGATTAGTACTGTGTAATCCTTAGATTATATCAATCATATTAAATTAGCAAATTGATATTTTTCAAAGTCTACATAAACACCATTAGCCATTGTTCTTGAACAAAAGTAAAGCATCCATCTTCTCCTGTCGGCCATGCCTAGATTACGGTGGTCTCCATCTCTACTACTTGCTGTTTGGTTCTTGTGTGTCCAAGTTCACGTGGTTCGAGCTCAGAACCGCACCAGAGCCACTACGCATCCCGATGATGGTCTGTCTTTGAACCCTAGCTTGACTCAGTTGGATTATATAGGCTGTAGCAAAGTCTTTTGATCCTCATTGATAATATCATTACCTGTTTCTTTACTGATTAGTTTAAACTAGTATTTGGCTTTTATGCAATCATCAGCTTATTTATAGCTAGGAATCGAAGTAAATCACATGGCTTATTACTCTATATATGTTTTTATTAACTATCGTTTTATTATTATATACAGAGAATTTCTTTTTATCCTCCGTTTCAATTTTATTGTTATTGTAGAGTAAATTTTTAGTTTTAAAATAAATTTCGTTTTATAATTTAATCCAAAGTTTATTAATTTTGTCTACTATTCTATATTTTCTATTTGTTAAAATGTGGTTATATGAGTAAATAATTGTGTTTTTTTTAAGAAATGTGTAAAATTAAATATTTTCTTAGTTTGTATATAAAACTCCAAAATGACAACTAAATTGAAGCGGAAAGTAGTATTATTCAAAATAAAATATTATTAAGTATTTACTCAATCAATAATAAATACAAAAAATCATACAATATAAAAGGTAAATAAATTAAACATCAAAATTTTAAAACATCATATTGTTTGGAATACACAGAAAAAAACTCACGTAAAATATAAAAAGAGGGAAAACTATTAATAGAACTACATTTATGTATATTAAAGAGGTAAAAATATTTATCAAAAAGACAGAATTTTTTTTTTTTTATCTAAAAGACAAAATTAATGAATATTAAAAATAAATTGACAGCGCGTGCATTGAACTCCATTTTCGCGACTTGGAAGATTCAGGCGCCGAATGAATGGAACATCAGCGGCGAGCTTTGCTCCGGCGCCGCCATAGACGCCGGTGTCACCTTCGAAAACACTGCCTACAACCCTTTAATCAAATGCGCGTGTACTTTCGCCAACAACACTATCTGCCGCATCACAGCACTGTAAAGCCTCTTTCACCTCTTCGTGCACACCAACTGTTCGACGCATTGTCCCAGAGAGAATCACTAAATTTGATTTTTGGTTTCACAGGAAGGTTTATGCGATAGATGTTGTAGAAACTATACCTGATGAGCTCTGGACTCTTGAATACCTCACGAATCTGTATGTTTCACACTCATTCACAAGTTTATATATATCATACAAATCTTGAGACTGTGTGTGTGATGCATCCAAGAGACCTAAAGATTCACATCTTTACTCACTTATTATTACAGGAACTTGGCTCAAAACTTTCTGACAGGACCCTTGTCTCCTGCAATTGGAAACTTGACTCGAATGGAATGGATGTAAGGCTGTGAAACCTTTCCTCATTTTTGTTTCTGGTGACTTTCTTCTTGCACGTTCTATTAACTCTGCGCAACTGTCTATTATCACGTAGGACATTTGGGATCAATGCGTTGTCTGGTCCTGTTCCCAAGGAGATTGGTTTGCTTACAAATCTTAAATTACTGTAAGCTTTGGATGCTTCTTGATTGTTTGAATATGTTAATGTTCTTCTCACACTGATTCTTGAGAGTTTTGATGGTTTTTTTATACCTATATGTGCAGTAGCATTAGTTCAAATAATTTCTCCGGTTCTATGCCAGCTGAGATTGGGAGTTGTACAGAGCTACAGCAAATGTGAGTGTATCTGTCCAACGTTTTGTGTATTTATTTCTTATTGGTAATATAAAGTCATGCCGATGTCAAAGTTCTTGCGCAATGAATCGTTTATAAGAAATTCTTACATCTATTGCAGCTACATAGATAGTTCTGGTCTTAGCGGGGAAATACCTTTATCATTTGCTAATCTTGTGGAGCTGCACACCGTGTAAGCTATATTAAATTCAAATATAAGCTTCATTGTTAGACTTTTACAAAAAAAAAAAATTGTTTCTCTTGGGTCTTGAGGTGATATTTTTTCTCAAAATGTTGTATCAGTTGGATGATGGATCTGGAATTTACAGGTCGGATACCAGACTTTATAGGAAACTGGACCAAACTGACTACCTTGTAAGAATATTTCCTTTTAACTGGAATGTTATAACGAACATACTTTCTATATTAGTTTCATTTGTATGTCCTTGATTGCAGGAGAATTGTCGGAACTGGTTTGAGTGGTCCGATACCGTCATCATTTTCCAACTTAACTTCTTTGACAGAACTGTATGTGTTGCACTGTCATATTTCACTATTGTTGCCGTTTCTCTTTCTTTTGCTTTCTCAACATATTCAAATTCTCAATGTAGGAGGCTAGGTGATATATCCAACGGAAGCTCTTCTCTTGAGTTCATCAAAAACTTGAACTCTTTAAGTATATTGTAAGGCGGCCTTGATTCTAGTTCTACTCTAATTTATGATCAGATTAACATACTGTTTCTCTCCCGTCCGTGTATTTAACATTGATGATTTATGTCGCAGAGTATTGAGGAACAACAATCTCACTGGGGCAATACCATCTGATATTGGAGAATTCTCAAGCCTGCAACAAGTGTAAGTACATATGTCAATGCAACTGTCTTTTCGGTGAAACAAAGAGATGATTTGTGAAAGCCACTATAAGTTCGTTGCTAAACATGAATGGTTTAACTTATGTTTGTTTTCCAGTGATTTGAGCTTCAACAAACTACAAGGACCAATACCGTCTTCACTTTTCAACTTAGCTCGACTTACTCACTTGTAAGATGATATATTTTCTGCTTCTTTTGGATCTTTATGCACAGCCACCCCAATAATTGTGAGAATATTTGTTGTCTATATATCAGGTTTCTAGGAAACAACACGTTGAATGGTTCCTTACCCACTCAAAAGAGTCAGTCTTTGAGCAATATGTGAGTAACCGAATCCTAATTTTTCATCATATCCCATATTTTTAGAGGGTTTAACAAATCCTCCTGATACCGACTCAAGTTTCATATATATTACATACCCTTCTAAAAGGATTTTGAAAAAGCAAGTTTAATACCGATCATGTACCTCTCGTGGTGACATGGTAGGCTTGGGATATATAACATGTTTTATAGAACCTAATAATTGTTCATTGTACTTACAGAGATGTGTCATACAATAGTTTGTCTGGAAGTCTTCCTTCGTGGGTTAGCTTACCAGACTCCAAATTGTTAGTGAAAAAACTTATAGTCGATGTTTTTAATCTCAGAAATTTCCTTATTTTTGTTCAGCCTTCTTTTGTGAAGGAAATATGTGGATAGTAAACAAAACTGTATATTATTTGTGCAGCAACCTAGTTGCTAACAGCTTCACACTGGAAGGTCTTGACAACAGGTGATCCTCTTAAAAAATTCTTCTTGCTTTTGAACTTCAGATATGTTTCTCTCTTCTTTTTTTTTTTTTGCAAAAGTATAAACAACTTACCATTTCTTTCTTGAATTATTTCTTTTTTTTTTGTTTGTTAAAAGGGTTTTATCAGGTCTGAACTGTCTGCAGAAGAACTTCCCTTGCAATCGAGGCAAAGGAATCTGTAAGTGTAACGAAAATATACCTTCATAACCTTTGAGCAGTGAGCATTGAGTTTCACATACCCTCATAACAGCTTTACACATGAATTCTCTAATGATTGGTGTCTTCAGATTACAACTTTTCAATCAACTGCGGAGGCCCCGATATAAGGTCTGCTAGCAGGGCCCTATTTGAGAAAGATGACGCGGATCTTGGACCATCTTCGTTTTTCGTGAATGCTGCTAGGAGATGGGCAGTTAGTAGCATAGGTCTTTTTGCCGGAAGTAGCAGTAATGCATATATAACTTCTTCACGATCACAATTTACCAACACTTCAGACTCAGAGCTTTTTCAGTCAGCAAGAC